GACTACTCAAGGAATCGAGTCCTTCTTATTTGTTATGAAAACTTAAGGCTCGTCTCGGAGGGGGGAAGGGAAAAGGGGGGTTACGACAAGTGCACAAGGGCTTAACGTCTATGAAAAGCTCCTCGAGAAGGGTCCTTTGAAGGCGAATCCTGGGAAGCAGGCAAAAAGCCGTGCGTACGGCCTCGAAACAAGTTTACTCCTTACGGAGAACTACTCGGTAGTACGGGAAAGTACAAGGAGCTACGGGGAACTACTTGTGTTCTGTGACTTCGAGTGTGTGTGTATGAAAGGGGAGAAAGGAGGTAAGGAGGTATGTTTACCACTAGTTATTGTTGGCCGGGGGAAGTTGTTGGCTTCCTAAACGGATATACCGACTTCAAATAGTTTTTTCCTCTGTGAGCCCCATTCTTTTATGCTTCTTTGCGACGAGTATTCCGCCTTTTTTTTTGCAGTTGTTGTGGCTGTACTTTTTGTTTGTTGCCAGCTTTCGGTTGCTCCGGGATCCGTTCCATTCCGTTCCTTTGCCGGGTTCCGCCCAGAAATTGCGGACGGAATCGGGATGCGGCAGCACGTGCCAGAGGTGTTCCGACTCCCTGTGGCTCCTGGGGCATAGACTCCTCTCCTCTGCACCCCGTAACTCGTACTCGTGCCGTGGCAATGATGAGTTGTGGAATATTCTCGGGGAGTCGGACTGCTCCGGGCCAAAGCCACAGCCAAAGAGCTTCTCGACTTTGTGACCCTGCCTGCTGATAGGAGGATGTGCGGTATAGAGTCTACAGTCTATTGCTGCACTTACAAAAATTAAGGCAGAAAATTGGTTGGCAGTCAAACCTTATTTCTCGTTACTTCTGGAAAATATTATCTTAGATTTATTATTAGATCTTAGATTTTTTTATCTCAATGCTTTCTTCAAAATTATTAAAATAAGTCATTAATTATATATCTTATATAAATATTTTATTATATGGGTACATATGAATATATTTTTAAAAATCGTATCTATTTGCTGATCTTAATAAAATTATAAAAATGTATTAGTTTACGATAGGGCTTACAATTGAATTTTTACTGTTTTCTTTTGTCTTCAAAATTATTTAAATTAAATATTTAAAGATTAGCTTTTTTCACCTTTATATTTATTTTTGGGAAATATTAAAAGAATAAATTCAATAATTTTTCAAAATTTAAATAAAACCTATTATACAATGAATTAACCTAGGCTATATTTGATTTAATTCGAATTGAAAAAATATTGTAACACTCTTTAGATTTAAATAAACTAAAATTTAAATGACTCGTAATTATATTTAGGCTTCTCTAGACTTCCCAATATCTTTCTAATTTCTAAAACACCTTCAAGTAAACTTCTTCAAGTGCACACTTTGCTGTTATCTGTCCAGTTTGCTCCACTCGGCGACTGCGATATCCTTGCTGGCTTTGGAGGCATCCCAAGAGCCGGTCGAAGATGCTGGGATTCCCGGGACTCTTCTCTGTGTTTGGTGTTCGGTGCTCGGTTCACTTGCTGTTTTATATTTACTAACAGCCACTTGAAGTTCATCGCTTACAAACATATTTTCACTTCGCCCCATCCCCTTCCTCCCCAGTCTCACATTCACATCCTTTCTCCTGGTGAAAGTGCTTATCGCTTTATGATGGGTTCTGTTCAGTTTAGCTCGGTTATCCCTCGCCCAAAGGGGGGAAATTTAAGACCTGGGTGTGTGGCCAGGTAAATGCGGTAATTATGAACTTAAATTTCTGGGTTCAAGCGTTCTGGGTTAATTGTTTAATTCCGGCTATCGGGTATCAGTCCGAACCAACTCGCCCTTAAAGTATCCCACAACTTTTGCTAATCATTTTAAATAACCAACTGTCGTCGTTTTTATGCCCCTTTTTTTTGCGTAATTACAGTTCGGGCAGAAAAAGTGGTGGTAAAATTTGTGAGCTGCATAAATTCATGACGCTTATTAAGCCACCGCCAACACGAAAGACAAAGCCTCAAAGGGGGCAGAAATGGAACCTGGATTGGGAGTGGGTTTCGAGATGGCTGTTTTTTGTTTGGGGAGATGGCGAGATGGGGGTGTCGCTGCATAATCACACCTTGACCACCTGTCCGCGCTGACGGTTGGCTGGTTGGCTCCCCCTGAATTTTGCCCCATGGTCGTTGCAGTGCATTTAATCTCGACAACATTTCCTTTGCCGACGAGGACGCAGCCCATGACATTTCCTACCTTTCCTTCCTGCTCCTTTTTTGCTCCAACCCTTTGCCTTTACTGTTGGCGACGTTGTCGAAAACAAAAATTAGTCCTGCCGTAAAATGGGCAAAGGAAGTGGTAAGTACCTGCCCAGCCAGCCAGGCAACTAACCGACCAACCAACCAACCACCCATCCACCTGGCCACTTCCACGCCATCGGCCGACTGCAGTAACCGACTTTGGCAGTAAAAATTCGTAATGTGCAGCTAATTAAGTTCAAAGCATAGTTTCAGGCGATGTCCTTAGTCGGAGTCGGTCTGGTCCTCGTTGGTCCTGTCCACCGGCGGCCGTTGGTGGATCGCAATTCCCGGTTAGTTGGATGCCCATGGAGGAGGCGAGGCGGTGGGGCGCTCGGCAGTCCGTTGACAGTCCCAATCCTCAGTGAATTTTCGTATGATTGCCCCGGAAAATCCCCTGCCTCTGAGGCTCTGCCCACAGTCCTGTCCGCTTTGTGGCCGGTACATCCTTTATTTCACGCAAATAAAATACAAAAATTGATTCCGCCCTAAAAGGAGAGCCAGTTGCCATGCCTTAAAGCATATCCAAATCCTTTACTGTGGCAGCTTTGCCAGCACTCTGCGAATAAAGTAAAAGGTTTATTATAAAGAGTGGATGGAAATTTAAAAATATCATTTACTTAAGGAGATTTTACATATATTGTTTGTTTATTTGTGAAGTACCGACATCCTAATAATTGTTATGACCAATTTAATTATCTTTTTTAAATTAATTCCAAGGATAACTATCTGAGAAATTAAAGTAATAAATTAAATTAATAGATCACAAAAAAGAACATTTTAAATTGAGTTTTGTTTAATACAAATATTTTTTATATTTATTTCCATAAACACAATTTAAAAATAATATTTATTTATATTTAAAGAAATATATTTTAGCAAATAGAGATATAAATATATTAAAATAAATATTTTTTATCAATGGAATATATAGAATGTATGAAATATATAAAATAATTTATATAATTTTTTTTTTTAGTGTGTAATGTTGATTGTGTAGCTTCTAGGTAAACTGAAAATTGCGGGCAAAGGGACTTAGCTGGCGTGCAAATATTTTGCTTGGGCGATTCCTTGGTCATCATGAAAATCTAAGGACCCTTGAGGACACTTTTGACAGGTAGCCGGGGGTCCTACTTCATTTTACGCCACTTTGAAGCGAACACACTCCATCGTGCACATTAAATTCATAATTGCATAGATTTAGCCGCCATTAAAAATGCAAAATGCGTCTCGTGCGCCGCAGATGTGGCAGATGGAGGAACTGAGGAACGTAACTTCATCGGGCGCATTAGCAAAGTTTTGTCGCCTTATTTATATGCAAACTGGACTCGGACTCCCTGCCACAATGCAACTAATTGCCACCGAGTTGAAATCCGAGAGAGCCTTTTTCAAACTGGTTTTTAATGCGGCCAACGTCGCCAAAGTCTAGTGTTGATTAAATACTTGCCAACTGTTGTGCTATCAAGGGCCATTTTGATATAGGGGCTTGCGGCCAGTGATATCGGGGCTGTCATTTTTGCCACTTTAGCCCACTTGTTGTCGCACAACCAGACAAACATGGAGTTTTGCATAGAGTGTTCTGGTGTGCGGCAAAAACTAAACAAAACGAACAGCACGCAACTGTTTCGAGTTTCGAGTTTAGTCCGCCTTATTGCGCCTGGGGGCAGGCAACAATATTTGTCGTGCAGTTGATAAAACTGTCCTTAGCTGCACTATCCTGCTCGCAGGACCAAAGAGCCCAGCCCAGTCCAGACCAGTTCCATTTCCATTGCCGCATTGTCGTTTTGTCTGATGAGTTTTTAAGTACAGACAATTACAAACGACAACCGAGGAGCAACAAATGCAATCAGCCAGCCGCATGCCAGAGTCGCTCGCTTACTTAGCCAAGTCAAGACCACGCCCCCTGTCCTTCGACCTCCCTCCCCTCAAACACCCCCCTCCCCCACAATCGCATTTCTGGGCGATGCGACGGAGATGATAGTCCCCATCTCAGGGACCTGCGTTTGCGGTTATCACATTCTGCTGGGCAGTTTAGCTGCGTAATTGAATTAAATTTCGTTTTAAAATGTAAAAGGCTTTTGATTTGGTTTGTAGTCCTTGATGTCGTTTGTACTCCATGAAGTAATTAACATTTGTTTCAATTCCTGAACACCAACTTGGGAGCTTGAGTTGGCGAATCCCACAAAATGAGAATGAATCAACAAGCGAGTTGGCAGGAATAAAACTACAAAAAAGTTTTTGGATATTTTAAGGGCTATTTGTGGTGTCGAAGAGGAAATTATATTACCCGTTTGAGAAGGAAAAAAAGAACAAAAATAAAGTGCTTTCAATTTGAGAATTCGTCCTTTTACTTGTTTGAAAAGAAATGTTCTTGAAATCAAGGCGAAAGTATTCTTGATTTTGTATTTCGAGATGATGTGATCTTAAGTTAGTAATAAAAGTATTATTAATATTGTTTTTTTTTAAATTTTAAAATCTGGCCAATTTTTAAAAAATTATGAGCATTTTCCGATAGATGGTGCCACTTTCAAGCGACTGTTTGTTTTGCTGCGTGCATATCTCAATCTCTTTCATATTCATTCATTTAATAAAACGTTCTTTCTTGTTTTGTAATCTTTTAGTAAAAACAATTTGAGTGACAATCAAAAAACGAAAACCAAAATTAAAGTAATCATTCTAGAAAACGTATATAAAAAGAAATATTTTTGGCTGTCAGAAAAGTAGCTTTAAGATGTCCGGCAAAGCACTTGGTTTTTTCCACGACAGCGATCGTGTGCGTTGGTACCGTGGAATGTCCCCCGAGCAGACGGAGGCCTGTGACGGGCTACTCCACGCCCTTCGCGATGACATGGAACAGGGATCCACGTTCCGGGTGCGCCGTTGTGTCTTCCGACTGGGTCTTAATCCGCTGGTGGAATCCTCGCAGATCAAAGACATCATGGCCATGAGTCAAGGCAACGACCTAGCCTTCCTGTGGTTCCTGTGGCACTCGGCCTATAAAAGTCCTCAAAAGTGCCGACAAGACAGCGAGGAATCGGATTCTGAATACTATTCGGTAAACGAACAGTTGCTGTTGTCGGGAATTGCCCACCTGGATATGCCGACCACCCTGAGAGCCTTGGATGCCCTTCTCCCACCGCCCATTCAATCGAAGAAGAGGAACTCCCAAAGGAAAATTGGTTCTCGAAAGAGTTCGCTGGGGATGCCTCAAGGTGCAAGTCAAAGGTATAAAGTCCTTCCATACTTTGCTCCCCAGGTACGTCCCCGTGAATTTATTCCACAGTCCAAGTTCCAAACGCCCGAGAGCAGACTGCGTTTTCCGGAGTACTCACATTACAGCGATCGAATGCACAAGATTCCGAATGAGAGGTCTCGTTGGTTTGCTCAATACCAATTTGATCCTGCCAAGAGGCTAGTGACCAAGCTGCTCTCAGAGGAGCTTGGTAGACTAGCCTTGGAGCCACAGAAGAATATGTCGGAAGAAAGCGATCCTCAGTGCGAAACTCATCGCTTCTTAGAGAAGACAGTGGATATTCAACGACAGGAGAAAGTCCACTCAGACCGCCAGCGCTGTTTATCTCAAATGGATGTTACAAAAAACTCAACGAAGGCTCGTAAAAAACGCATCTTACAAGATATAGAAAGGAACATCGAATGCTTAACTAACAAGGTCGTTGGAAAATCACCAAGATTCTTAAATCAAGTTAAATGTTCTCGAAAAGAGGGCGGATATTGTGGGTTGTGCAAATATACGACAGAAAACAGGGCAGAAGTGTCCATGTTGATGGGTCTGGAGGAGAATCCCAGAATTCATTTGTTAGCCCCTTCGCAGGATAACTTGATCCAGGTTATGCTTATGCAAAAGAATGAATCTCGACGCTGTGGAGCTGGCGATTGTGAAATACTGAAAGTTGACTGTGCCTTGGAAGAACAAAAGGACATCAACACAATCCCTAAGCGTAAAAGGAGTAGGACGTCGCATATTCGAAAAAGGAAATCTCGCAGATCTACAAAGAGCACCATCGAAGAAGCCCCAAATTTACCAACTACCGAGTTTAAGAACCTCGCGGATCTCATTCCAGCCTGCAGTAGGACATTGCGTTGCTTGCAAAGACCTTCAACCCGTTGTCCTGAAGAAGACACCTTCACCAACAGGACTCTGAATGGCTTTCAGTTGGACTTTCAAAAGATTTACGATTTGCCGACGCCTGTTCCTGATCTTCCCTTGCCCTGGGAGGATGATGTTTTGGATCTGGAGGACAAGCAGCAGGTGATTGAAAATTTCTGCGTTGATGCTTTAAGAAATGGGGAATCCCAGTCGGTGAAGGAGTTTCAGCGGGATAAATCCCTTCCGCCGGTTTTAAAAGCAGCTGCCAATTGTGCCGTCGATATGTTCAGGAAAAATGTGGCAGAAGTGGGAGAAATCCCAACTGTTAAGGATAAGGCTCCATATCCACTAATCGATCCGGATAACAAGCTGCAAATAGAGAATCTTTTAAAGGCAGCCTTGCAAGTTCTGCGAACTAATCCCCACTTCGTGTTGGCAACCTTTTCCAATGCCCACAAGATGCCCGTGTTACTTGAATGGGTGGCCAATCGCTATGGAAAAACCTTTAGCAGGGAGGAAATGAAGGCCCTCGTGAGGTCCTCCTACCGGATCTTCGAAAGGGTCTTTCAGGAGGAGCGACTGAACCACCACGAGATGTTTAAGCTAAAGAAATCCCTTTCGGGTTTCGGCTGTGGTCCCATACGCTACGATAGCTATAGGAAGTTTAAGTGCTTGGTTAAACAGCGGAAGAGGGATTACAATAACAGACTCAACGATCTCGCTTTGGAGCAGTCGCGCCTCACCTGGTTGGCCCTGCGAGGATACTCCCATTTGGGTGGTCAGATCAAGGATACCTTCTTTGCCTACATGCCCGCCAGACATCAGGATTTGAAGCGCCAGCACGTTTGGAAATCCAATGACTACCGGGATATGGTCAAATTGCGGTTAAGGACTCGTCCTTCTACTTGAGAAGAGAGTAATTTCAGAGGGCAGATGGTAAAACATGCCAGTCCATGGTTTTCGATCTGCCTTTGGGAATTTATTGGAATTGAATTTATCTGATGATCTGCTTAGTGGTATAGCATGCTATGCGATGGTCCAATGAAATTTTCCATTCGCGACCGACTACTTATGTAAACCAAACTATGTATAATCCCAATTAAAAATGCTGATGCCCAACTAAAACGCCCGGACAGCAAATGAATAGCAAACACGGCCGAACAGGGGCTTAGGTTCAGATTTTCAGCTATCGCCCGGTCGCCAGATTGCCGATGGCCCGTGCTATCCGCCGTTGTTGCTCATTAATTAAAAACGGGGTGGCGAGATGGGGTTTTTCCGAAAAGCGGAAAAGTGGAAAAGTGAAACAGGGGGGTGGAACAAGAACAACAGACAGCAGGGCTGCCAGTCTGCTGGCCATGTAATGGCGGCCAAATGACGCACGTGACACGTGTGGCATGGCACTGACAATCCAAAATCGACTCGCTGACAGGCAGATGACGCCGGCAGGCAGACAGGAGGACACTTTTGGGGGCGGGCCGCAATGCCAGCGAGGTCCTGGTCCTGGATTTCAGCGGTCTGGTCGACGCCCTGCCCGCAGCACTTTGTGTATTGAATCGGTAAAGCATGTGACAGGATTATGATATAAATCATTGCATACTTTACGGCGATCGATTTAAGGACACCCAGTCAGCCAGCTCTTCAGTTTGATAAACTGCACAATGTAAGGACTTCTGTAACTGATTCGGCTCTGATTAAAATTTAAAATATTTATTTTAATGGTAATTGGCTGATTGAAATTTTAAAATATTTATTTTAATGGTAATTGGCTAAAAAATTAATGAGTTGAAAATGTTTTTGAAAAATAAATATAATTATGTTACCAGGATGTAAATTTTTAGAGGTCTTGAAACCACATTGGATTTAAAATTAGACATATGTTACTTTTAGGAGATTTTAATAAATATTTTTTAATAAATATTGCCTGGTTAAATTATATTATTTAAGTTTAAGTTCCTACATTTTTATTCCAATTTCAGTTACTGATACTAATTTCTATACACTTTAAATGTATCAATTACAATCTAGGGATTATAAACAATTTCCTATAAACTTACGATTGAACCACAATCTATGGATAATATCCAATTTTCTGTACACTTCAAATTAAATGTACAAATCACAATCTAGAATTTATAACCAATTTTCTATACACTTCAAATTAAATGTACAAATCACAATCTAGAATTTATAACCAATTTTCTATACACTACAAATTAAATGTATCAATCACAATCTAGAATTTATAACCAATTTTCTATACATTTCAAATTTAATGTATCAATCACAATCTGGGAATAATAACCAGTAAAAGAACAATTTTTAAGTTTTTATTTTCTAGATTCCAAAAAAACCCAAAGGTGGTGCTGGTAAGTCGGAACCCAATCACATGCAGGTCCCCGGGCGGATGTTTTGTTGCGGACCCTGCAGCAGCTGTCGGATAATCGCCGGCTGGTACAATGAGCTGGGCGTGGGAGAAGCTCCCTTCGAACCAAGCTGGACAATGCCCCCCGGAGACGGATCCCCCATTGGCAGCGCCATTTCCATGGCCATTATATTCAATTATACGACAATAACGTGGCGCTTAGGGCGCTGCGGTTCACGGGAATTGAAAATAATAATAAAGCGGGTAGAGTGTGTGGGGGGTTGGGTTGGATGGATAGATAAAAAGTGCAAGCTGGTTTTTGGTTGCTAGATGGTCCGTGCACAAGGACTTGAGCCAACTATCAGCAAGAAATTATGATTGGCTTTTGGTAAAGTTTTCGACCGCAGTCAGCAGTCAGGAGCGCGGGCACTTGGGAACTGCCACCGCATACTTTGCGGCACTAATCCGCTGAAAGGACAGCATACGGACAGTATCAGTGGGGCATGAAGTACCGAGGCACCGAAGCCCTGAAACGCTGAGAACAAAAAGCAATTTTCTGCAAGCGCAACGTTTTAATTTGACTCTTGATTGTTATGCCATTGTTGCCTTGCATTGTGCACTCGGCAATGGCAATCTACATTCTTTGTGTAATCGCCGCTAATGCGCCCGAAATTGTGCTAAACGATTTCCATTGGCCCACCGCCGCGGGCTATTTAAGACAATATAACCATTTGTAACCATTTTTTAAAGCCCCTCAGAATGGAGATGCTATTTCTCAGACTTATCGCCGGATTATAAATACAGGGGGCCATTTCTCTTGGCCACCGAGATTTGCATTTGCACGCAACATTTGTTAAATGTATCGTCATGTATGCCATTTCACTTAATTATGCCATTTACTTTGCATACAAAGCCTCCATAAGTTTGCCCGAAATCTTGGGGAAAATTTGAAACTCCTGACAGAGGAGAACAATTTGTCACAATTATTGCACACAAAATGACAGGCAAATGAAAGGCAAGCAGCTGGAAAACAAGCTCCGGAAAAGTCGGCTCCAAGGAGCAAAAGGATCCAAGGATCCAAGGAGCTAGAGGCCTTGACAAGTTAAATGTGCTCTTCACTCGGGCCTCCTGCACAATGATGCAGCAAATGCTCACCAGGAATACGAGTATTTCAGGAGCCAGGAGCAAACTTGTGTCCGACATTTTGTCATATTTTTTGGTTAATTTCAAAAATGCAAATCATTGATGTCCTGGCGGAGCGGAGTGGCACGTCCTGTCGCCTTTTTGACAAATTTGCCATCAGTGTTCGTGCGGCAATGTGCTCGTTACCCATAACTTTCCGGCGGTAAAGTGTATGGTATCATGGATCCATCCGGTTGGCTCTTTAATTTGCCCGTTGGTTTGTCCCGTTTTCCATTCTGAAATATGAAAACTCGGCCCTGTCGATCGTCATGTTTTCTGTGGCAGCTTATTCGCATAGTGGATGTTGGTTTTCTGCATGAAACCCCGAACTCCACTGGCCATATTATGCAAAAGTTTGCATTTACATTTCCTGCCTTTGTTTGGCCATCCTTTGCTTTGACCAGGCCTAAAAATGTCCTGCTTATGTAAGGCAAAAGGGATTATTTATACAAAATAATTAGGGTACGACCATTGATGACATTTTTTACTAAATTATATATTTAAAATGTTGTTTGTTTTTAAATTTACTGATTGAAAATCATACTATTGTTTTATTATACTAAAGAATTATCCAAAAAATTAAAAACAAAATTATTAAGGTTAATAAATCCAAATATTAGATATATTAACGTTTTCAAAATAAATATTGGTACATATTTAAAACGCGTAAGGAATCTTGTAACGGCTATAGAAAAATACATTTATTTCAAGAGGTACCCATTCCCATCGTGTGAGTCTTTATGCTCTATGACATTCAGGGTTTCGAGCTTTCGAAAAGCTCAGACCGGTTCTCTCCCAACTGCGCATGCGCCGCCGCCTCAGTGCAATTTCAATTTCAACAACTTAACTCCACAACTCAAGAGCGAAAGCAGCCAGATCAATGGAGTCTTCGGGGCGTTAAAACCCATTCCCCATTCGATCCGATCGCCCAGTTGAGTCCGAGACGTAGACGCGTGCGCACCGCAGTTCCTGGTGAGTTCCTGGCCTGCATTTCTCCCAGTGTAATGCCGATGATGTAGATGTGGAATACCAACAATGGAGTGCGCCGAGTGAATCAAAATGGCCGGCGGACAGCGGACTGCTCTTAAATGCCTTTAAAGTGCCGGAAAGAATATTAATTTGCCACATTAAAATAATCTATCTGTCCGTGCAGGTTTATGTCGGCTAACGAAATGGCGTTTGTGAAAATTTGCATATTTGCTTTGGCTTTGGCCGTGGGTAAGTGTGGAAAAAGCTCTTAATTGCATTTGCCAATTAATGATACGTCAATAGCATCATGCCCTCTGCACTCTTTATACCAAACTCTATTTGAATAATGTGCTGTGACTTTAATGCTCTTCGGCTATTCGGCTCGCTCAGTGCAAACAATCGCCTCTAATTGTTCGCCGCACCCAAAAACAAACGGCAAACCAACGCAAAACAAACCTACAAACCAGGGAAATACCAACAAAATAGCGACAAACAACGATATGCAAATGCAGCTCAGCAACTAAGCTGAAAAATATTGTTGTTAACATTATTTGCCCCCATGTTTATGCATATCTGCAGTGTTTGCCGTTTTGGCCCTCTCTCATCATGTCAACTGTTGTCCAATTGTCCGATTTCGATGGCAGGGAACACGTGTAAATGCCATATGTAGCATATAGCACATAGCATATAGGATATACACTTGCATTCATCGTGGGCATTGTCACACTTGTTGTTGTCAATTTGCATGGCTTTGGTTTCGGGTTTCGGTTTTGGCTGGAATTACGATTGCAATTCCAATTGAAAATTCGGCAATTTAATTTTCTGGCAAATTTTCTGCTCATTTATTGTGTGAAAGCTCATTAAAAATTGGTTTGTCTCCGTTGCAACACCCCTTGAACAACCCAAAACATTAAAAATTCATATTGTTAACTCGGCGGAATAAAATATAAATTGATAGGCAACTGTTGCGTGCGGGGGCGCAAAACCAAATTTAGTAATAATAATATTAAAATGGCCATGAAAAATATGGCTGCAGCTCATAATTAAATCTATTGCAATTTGGGGCATATACAAATATGAATGGCATAAATTAAATTGCCAGTTAATTGAGGGAAAACTCTCCTGATGCCAAGCACGATGAAAAGACAATGGAAAAGTTTTAATTTGATTGTTTGTTTGGGGCGAAAAGTTTATAATTTATTTGCCTCGGCCGTCGTGTTGACACTTTCCAGAGGCTCTCCACCTTTCGCCAAAAAACTCACATCCAATTTAACACACTCGTCTATTATCAATCTGCCGTCAGTTCAGTGAATGACATGAAAAAAGTGCCCTCAATCTGTTTATTTTTAATCCATTTAATGTTCATTGAACTTAACGCGCCAGCTCGCACTTTCCC